CATCTATGCATGCCACATGACTTTCACACATGCATCAGGACCCGTGCGATGTTTCGGTGGCATAGCTACACCCGAAAGGCCACCCCGAATCCCCGTTGACCAGGAGATCTAGCCCTTTGACTATCGCCGGACGGGCTTTGACCAGTGGACTCTTCCACCTACTTGCCATAGGTTAGCCCATAGGAACATCCCCGAAGACGGTCTGGACCCAACCCGCCACTAGATTCGCTCCGGCTCAACCCGATGCGCACGATCCCCCCCTCGAAGCGACGGCCGCACTGCCGTCCGTGGAGGGGGGCCACACCCCGGAGCCCAAGACGTGCGTCTTCGCATGCCACATCACTTTCAGACATGCATCAGGACCCGGTGAGGTGTTTCGGTGGCATTGTTACCCCCCAAGCCTCCCAGCCGACCTAACCCTAGACCAGTTGACCTGATTATCTAGCCCTTGACTTTCACAGGACGGGCTTGGACCAGTGGACTCTTCCACCTAGTTGCGGTTGGTCAGCCCATAGGAACATCCCCGAACAAGGTCTGGACCCAACCCACCAATAGATTACCTCCGCTTCTACCCAACGCGCACGTCCCCCACTCGAAGTGACGGTGGCACTGCCGTCCGTGGAGGGGCCACACCCCGAGCCCCAATACAGGTGTCTACGCATGCCACATTACTTTCAGACATGCATGAGGACCCGTGTGATGATACGGTGGCATAGCTACACCCCGAAGGCCACCCGACCGGACTAAACCCTAGCCTCGTTGACCCGACGATCTACCCCTTTGACTTTCGTCGGACGGGCTTTGAGCAGTGGACTCTTCCACCTGGTTGCGATAGGTCAGCCCATAGGAACATCCCCGAACATAGTCTGGACCCAACCCACCACTAGATTCCCTCTGGCTCGACCCGCCCCGCATGTTTCCCCATAGGAGCTAGCTTAATGTTGTGAACTGGGCCCTGTTAGAAGTGTAGGCTATAAGCTCTAATCGAGTGTGCGCCAAGAGGTTAGTAGCCTATATCACTGAAATAGCATTTTGCTTCTCGCATGAGTAATGTTGAATGCATGCACAGAAGCATTTTTATTTCTCTCAAAAAATTAGTACACTGTAGAAAAAATATCACGCATGGCAATATTGTTGTTCACTTGAGAGAAATATTCAAACAACCAGAAGGAAATTTAGTTTTAGATTTACATTTTATTTTAATTTTCTTTAATGGTTCATTAATTTATTTAAAGCATTTTGCGGTCGAGAACACACAAATGAAATAGTTTTCATAAGAAAACGCTGACAGTTTGGAAAGTTGAAAATTATAACATCAAACTAATTTTATCTATATTTTAAGTTTGAATTTGAAAAAATAAAAGATTTTACAAACACATCAATAACATTTATTTTTGGAATAGAACTATTTTTTTCAAATGCATTCTTCATATAGAAATTCATTGTGCTACCGTGATTTGATACGAATTGTAAAAAACATAATAATCTAACGTGCTCACGTACAAATTACTAGTTTACTAAGTACAATGACCTATATGCAAAAGTACATGAGGTTACATTTTAACAAACTCAAAAGTAAAAACAAGCCAGATATACATAATCTATGGAAAATTCTGCCCCAAATTCATATATAATTTGTGTATCTTTCAGTTTATATAAATTAGATTTAAATTAATTCAAATCTAAAGTTTAAAAATGTAAAATGAGAAATAAAAAACATATAATAGGTATGCCGACGGCATGGCCGTCGGCATATATAGGTGCCACGTGGTTTTTTGCTGAACAAAAAAATTATTTTACATAGATATGCCTACGGCATGGCCGTCGGCGTAGATAGGCCACATGGCATTTCCTGAACTAAAAAAGTTTCATAGCTATGCCGACGGCCACCGTTAGGGCCGTCGGCATAGTTTTGACGGCGTCAACCCGCCGTCTGAGCCAGGGTCGGCGGGCCCATGTATGTGTCGACGGTCTTTCTACGCCGACGGCCCCCGTCGGCATAGTGGAAGATACGCTGATGGCCTTTCTACGCCGACGGCCCCCGTCAGCATAGACGGAGGTATGCCGACGGCTTTTCTAAGCCTACGGTCTTCCTGCGGCCGTCGGCACACCGTCATCTATGCCGACGGGGGCCGTCGGCGTAGATAAAGCCGTCGGCAGCAACAATTATTCTGGTAGTGCATGGTCGGTGGGTGAGTATGGATGTAGAAGGGCGGTGCCAACGGGAGGGTCCCCGGGCTCCTCTACTATCTCCTGCCTCAAACCCGACATGGGGGGCCACGACGATTGTGACAGTGCGGGGGATGACGGTGACGACGGTGGCGTCCACGAGCGACGGCTGCTGCTTGTCCCCGAGGTTGTGTCTATGGCGGCGGCGGAACCGCGGACTGGCATCCACACGTTTGAGGGTGTTCCGGATCAGCGGACAACGACGGAGGGTGCGGGCACGTGGCTGGCCCATGGGCTTGTTTTTGCTTCGTCGATGATGAAAACAGTCAACACTGAAGTTTAATCACTTTGGGCGCAAAAACCGTCAGTGGCGGGGTTTAGGCGCCCATCAGTGATGTATGAATCTGTAGTAGTGAGTGTTAGCATAACCTTATCTCCAATGCAGTCTGGTAAGTGAGTTAGTGTTTGAGTTCTAGCGCTTGCCGTATTACAACAAGTATTCTTGGTGGCGAGGATGATAAGCAAAGGTCGTATTATACAAAGGTCGTACTACTCCAACAAGTATTCTGGTTTTCCGTGTATGGCGTGGGTGCCGCGCTCTATTGAAGACGTCGTTGTGGTTCTTCTCTCCGTGTCAGGGCTCCGGGTGAAGACCTTTGTCCAGTGTGGACTCGGCAGCGGCGACGCTTTTCGCCGTTCTCCCTCTTGAGAGCGTTGCCGTGGAGCCTAGGTGTGCTAGGTCGTAGCGTGGGGGTGTTTAGTTCGTCCGGTGCTTGTTGTTGGTAGCATAGCCGCATGCATCCTACGTGTGCCGGATATCTCAGGATCGGCTTTGTAAGAGGGCTACCTCACCATTTTGTATTGTTCGGTTGTGCACTGTTCGGATGTTGTTTTATTTATAAAGCGGGGCGAAAGCCTGTTTCAAAAGGTTGGAGAAAGTTGATCCATCCCGATGTGTCCGTTTGTAGAACATAGGAATTTTAGCACCACGGTCATCGTCTCGACACTTGAGTTTTTTTGTTAAACATTTTGACTTATTCAATGTCACATTTGTGCAATGACAGGTACTTAGGAGATGGAGGCACAGATGGAAGAAAACAGGGAAGGAAACACCATTGGTTTAGCAACAAGTAGCAAAATGCCTCGAAATTGGGTTACTATGCCAGGAAATTGAGCCATCCAAACGGCCTTATATATGGGATATGATACATGTTATTAGAGAAACTGAAGGTGCTAATGGAAAAATCAGCAATTCCTATGAACATACATTTGGACAGGTAAGTTTGTATGGTCCCCACTTCTTTCTTTCTTCTTCTTCTTAACACCTGCTCTTTTACTGCAGATAAGCCCTTACTCGGAAGATGATATGCTTGGAATTGAGCCACTCCAACTACATTTTCCTTTTGAGCTTAACAAACAGATGTCATGTGCACTTCAGCTAACCAATGAGATGGACTGTTACATTGCCTCCCACGTTGAAAATACGAGCCCGGTGTCATACAACACACAGCCACAGAAAGGCATTATGCCTCCACGATCCAAGTGTAATGTCGAAATAACATTGCAACCGCAGGGCCAGGCTCTGAGAGATCGTGCCAATGAATTTTTTGTATGGAGCACCACAGTGAATGGTGGCCTTACAGTTGAGGATATAACTATAAACATGTTCATTAAAGAGGCAGACAACGTGGTTGATGAGGTGAATTTAGATGTGGTTTTTGACGTTGGTGAGCCACAAGAAGCAAGTAAGAAAACAAGCGAGCCACAAGAAGCAAGTAAGAAAACTAGCGAGGTGAGTTGTCTAAGAATACTAACTTGCAAAGCTTTGTCTATTCAATTAGTGTCCAGTGGGCACGATCTCTTATTGCAGTTATAGAGTGCCAAATTGATAGACGTTCACATCAAAATTCATTTACTTATGCTTTGTAGTAGAACTGAACTTTGTGGTTTAGTAAATGAAACTGAAGAGATATTGCTTTCTTAAACAAATAAAAGATGTCCAGATCAACTTGATTTTAAAATTATTTTAATTTAGCAATATAATCAGTATATTAGATTGGCTTGCACATCTTTTCCTTTTTATTTTCATGAAGTATTAAATCAAGAATGAAAA